ACTTTCTACCCCACCAGGACATCACACAAGTGATAAACACCCAATGACACAAAGTGCCACCATGTGGGTAAGGATCACCGTGGAGAGATCCCAGAAACCGCGTTCGACCTTTAGGCCATATTTATGGCCAGGCTATATTGCGGCCCCTGGCAAAAGCCAGAGTAGGGCTTCAAATAACGAAAAATTTCATCCTAAAAAGGACGAGAAGTATGTATTACCAACTGAAATGAATGAATGAATGAATGAATTTCTACCCCACTAGGACATCACACAAGCGATAAACACCCGATGACACAAAGTGCCACCATGCGGATGAGGATCGCCGTGGAGAGGTCCCAGAAACCGCGTTCAGACATTTGGCCATAATATGGCCTGCCTATATTGCGGCCCCTGGCAAAAGCCAGAGTAGGGCTTCAAATGACTAAAAATTTCGTCCTAAAATGGACGAAATTGGACAATTACCAACTGAAAAGAGAGGGCCAATCACATAGATGAATGGAGACAGGTGAAATCTGCAGAAGACAAATTATTATTATTATTACATACCTAAATAAGTCTTTTGCCCCTCGAGGCTCCCTCCCTCCCAATTGTTTCTTTGTCTCATCCTTGATGCCACATAGATATACTGAACATGCTACTGTATGTATTGATAATCCTGCTAAACGTAATCCTCTTTCTAAACTATACAGCCGATCCGATCAAGGGAGATAATCGTTTGTGTTTTCGTTTGTGTATTTAGAAAATCGCTTGTTCTCTGAGTTAACCATGTACAGACTTACCTCAATGTCGTATTGCTCACTGAAGATTGTTCGAACACGCCGCACATAGAAAATGTTCACTGAGCGCACTTGGTCATTGTTACGGTTTGTCTTAGTCCTGTCATTGATAAAAGGTAAGTGCCAAAGGTAACGTAGATTTCCAATGAATTGTTTGTTAAATTTTAACACTGGAAATCTACAGCCCATAATTTATTATTATGTGAAAAGTGATAATTAATAATAGAAATGACAGAACAAAATTAGAGCGTTTGAACTTAAATGCTACTGGAAAAGTCTTTGAGTGTCATTGACAAAGACGAGGACAAACACTAACATTTTTCAGATGTGAATATCGAGCATGAAGATCTTAAAAAGAATATTATTTCTCCACATTGAACGTCAAATTGGTTTGGGGGTAACGGAAATGGAGGATATGGTTCCTGTAAGAAGAGGCAGAGGACGACCATCACGACGATGGAGACGTGATATCACGAAAACCCTTGATATGAAAGGTCGTGAGGGGGGAAAGTTGGTAGAGGACGGAATGGCTTTCATGAACGCCGTAAAGAGAGCCTACTTCTGCAAAGGACGAGTGATAATAATCATATAGTTAGTTAGTCGACAGCTTATCGCCATTGCAGATCGAACCATTCAGTCCTTAAGTGCTCGGTTCCCCTCCTTAGTAAATCCTGCAGCGTGTAGCTGCTGACCATACAAGTTTTGTGTTGGTTTTTTTTCTTTCTTTGACTTCCCGTATAGTAATCTTGCCTGGCCACATCCTTTTTAACTGTTGTTTTTGCAGTCTGGTCATGGTTGAAGATTCACAGTCATCACCTGGTTCTAGCAAAACGTCTTACTTCTCGTAGAGCATTCAGAATATATGTCGTCCATCCTTTACAGTAGCTTTACCTTCAGGTCTATCAGCCTGCTCATTTCCCTACATGCCTGCGTGCTCTGGCACAAATATGAAACTGATTATGTGTCAGACCCGACAGCTTTAGAGACTCCAACCACTGTCTTCGGACCCAGTCCATCTCTCTATTTTCCTGGGCATACCCACTGTGTCCTGAAAAAGCATGCGCTAGAAAATGTGTTAATAATACATAACATTTGGGAGAAACATTAACACTGAAACACATGTATTTTTTACGACAATGTAATGTTTGCATTAAATGATAGGTGAGCCAGTTGTTTAAGGTCACTAGGGTTGCCAGATACTCCGCTTTCCATGGAAGTCTCCGTTTTATCCGCCAAAATGTTGTTGCCATGGATTAAGATTTGTATGTTAATTATGTAAATCTTATAGCTTATTAACGGTCAAAAATGTCGTCACAAACAAGGCGTCGTCACTCCGATATTTATTCTATAAAAGCTGGCAACCCTACAGGACACATAAGAGAAGCAAAAAACAATCAGACCGTAACCTACCATGCATGTCATAAGAGGCGACGTAGGAACGTTGGTGTGTGTGTGTGTGTGTGTGTGTGTGTGTGTGTGTGTGTGTGTGTGTCTGTGGTTACCTCAGTGCGTTTATCTTTTATTTACTGAGTGGTATTCCACCTCATTCGCTAACTTTGTTACCAGCAGTCTCTGTAACATCCAGTCACCTCTTCCACCAATATTAAACTGTATTAGCATTCTGCCTATAGCTTATTCATTGCACCCTTATGCTACCAGTGCCAGACGTGGTCACAAAACATCAGGTAAGAAAATTAGTAACCACGGAAACGAGATGTCTGATAAGGAATGACCATTAGAGATAAAAATTAGAATGAGGCCATCATAGAGCAAGTTGACACAGAACCAATTCACATACACACACAGCAAATCAAACTGTACACTCAGCGAGTACGCCTGGTGACGCCATACCGTATAATACATACACGAAAAGAGGACGTAGACAAAGAATGAGATTGGGAGATACAATTAGAGAATTTCTACAACAGCATTAGTGTTGAGGCGGCCAGAAGAGCAGCAAGCAGAATCTTATATCTCCATCGACACCCGAAGCGGTAAAATAGGAAATGATGAAGTTTTCTGCATCTGTCTTTGATGCCTATTCGATCGTTGAATTAAACATATAAATAATTTGACTATTTTCTGGTACCTTTCCGCCTTTCCAGACGATATAATTATGTTGTGCTATGTGAAAGTATTGGACTCACAGCCCATGGCGATGGCGAATGTGACAAGCAATACCCTCCCGCATTATGAAACGTCTGCCACAATTAGAGCATGGGCGATCGGGAGCATTGACGTCATCATATGCATTTACTGTGTTTCTTCTCAGATGCTCAGCTCTCATCCTTTCTGCAACAATTTCTTCCTTCATTATCATTCCTGTCCTGATCTGTCCCCTCCACGCTACACGGTCAATGTCATTTTGTTCCCACGAATCTTCCTCAATACCTGTATCATCCATGTCCCGCTTGCACACAACTTTAAAAGGTCTTATTAAAAAAGCACTTTTTTGAGCTATTCGTAATTATCATCATCATCATCATCATCATCATCATCATCATCATCATCATCATCATCATCATCATCATCATCACCATAAACCACTTCTGCCGTTAAGCGCCGTGAGAAGTAATAATTTGCTATCCAGGGCACGTTGGCTGCCACTGGCTATTGTCATGCCGTGAAGGCATAGAGTGTCTTTAATGTTGTTGATCCATGTTTTCCGCGACCGTCCTCTTGCTCTTGTAGCTGATCTTCTGAGATGTAGTGCTTGTGATGTTATTTGATATTGAATCATTCTAACGAGATGGCCAAACCACTTGATGTGCTGTTTCTTGATGAATCTAGTAGTACATGGTTTCATTCCCACAATTTTTCTGATAGTATCATTATTTACTCGATCTCGGATGGTTAGGTTGGCAGCTTGTCCCAGGCATGTTGGTGATTTTGCGTAAATGGGCTTTAGTTAGTATCCATGTTTGGAACTGGTAGCTGAATGTTAATTCGTAATAATCATTACACAACAAGTTACTAAACAGTCTTTGTTATAATTTCTAGTCCCCTGTTGCAGAAACACATAATTATTGTTAGTAATCAGTCATTGTAGGTAAAATGTCTTTTTAGTGCTTATATATTGGCTATCAGTCTGCCTTCCCCTATAATATCTATTTATCTGCTAAAGCAACAGACAATGTGTGACTAATCAGAGTAACTTTCTATAATATAGTCATCTGTAGAACCAAGCTTACAATTTGTTTTCCATCCATCTTTTCCTTTTGCCGTAAAGCGACACAGAGAGGAGTTTCCTGTCTTTGGCTTACTGTGTGAATGTTATACTGTGTTTCTGTAATGTCTCTTTTACTCCCTCAACCCATAAGCCCGGCTCTCTAGGGTAATTGGCTAAACCGGATTGCCGGGTGACGAACCCTTATGGTCCGGGTTCAATGCCGGGGGTAGGCAGGAAAGCCACATTTCTCCCAGATTTACGGTATTTACAATGGAATCAAGGCCGAAAGGTTGCGATATCCATAATACCGAGCCTAAGGGTTAACAACTCATGGCTTCTGGATACTAAAACAAACAAAACTCCCTCAAACCATCTTTTTCTGGGTCAGCCTGTTGACTTTGCAGCCTGTTGTTCTCATGCAGTACACTCTACCTGCTGACTGAGTTTGTTCCATTCTGACCATATTAACATACCATTTGATTCTTTGATGTTCTATAAAATCATGATGTTTCCATCGATGTTCTCAGTTATTCGTTGGCGACTGTGTCGCTTCTTGCTTTTCCCGCCCCATTTCTTATGCATTTCATCTCACAAGTAATTTTGCGTTTGTATTTTTCAAGGACTGTCGCTGTCTGGCATTTATTGAACAAAGTTGGTACGAACAGCGCACTTATCATTCATTTGTGACTCTGTTCTTGTTTATCTCCCAACATTTCTTACACATTTAATCTCAAATTTTACGTTTATGTTTTCCAAGGACTGGCATTGATAGCACCAAAGTTGGTACGAATAGCGCACTTATCAGTCATTGGTGACGCTGTCTCTTCTTGTTTATCCCCAACATTTCTTATACATTTAATCACATACCTTGCAATTTTGCATTTATGTTTTTCAAGGACTGGCATTGATAGCACCAAAGCTGGTACGAATAGATGCATTTATAAGCTGCTTTTGTGTGTGCATGTTAATATTTTGATATACTGTTTTACTTCATCTATAATGTCCAGTCGTCGGTTAAGCTAATATTCTGTCCACCTGTACTGACCAGACATCAGCTCCAGCCACCAGCAGCAACTACGTCGTGTGTGCTACTTCACCAACTGGTCATGTGACCTCCTGGTCAAAGAAGCTTACTTCTGTCTGCACGACCTGGACGCCAGCCTCTGCTCTCACATCATCTTCGCTTTTGCTGGCGTCAATGTGACCTCACTCAGCCTGTCCCCGACCAGGATCGACGACGAGAGCGTTGGAACTGTCAAGGTACTTTAAATGATTGTGCAATTGAGATACCTCCGCTAAAACCGGTCCCGAGACCGACTGAAAAAGAAGGAGGGTCTGGCTGAAACCTGGGTGCTTCATCATGATTCGCCGTAAGTAGTGGGGAACCATGAGTAGCATGACGACAGGAATGGAAACCTCAAGGAGATAACTCCTCCACCATGCAAAGGCACAACAGGCCAATCATCTGTTTGCCTAAAACCACGATTACAAGTTATCACTGAAAGAAAAACAAACTTTCTAAAAAGAAAATTGCTATTAGGGAAGCTTGACGATCTCTCCCGCAAACCTCTACACCGCAAGGTAGAAGGGAAGCGAGGAAGTAAGTAAGTAATTGAGATACATAACTGACTTCTAGATAACGAGCAGGCGACTCAGACAGGAAACATAAACTGAGAGGCATCAGGCTTTGATGTAATTGTAGAACTGTCTAGACAAATGGATGCATATTAGGGGTGCCGGAACTTGGAGCTCAGGTGCATTGAGAGTTCACAACCCCCCCCCCCTCCGCCCACCCCCTTTAACATTCTATTTAAATAGGGCTGTGCTTAACCCCTCTCTTCCCCGAAAACATATTTGCAAATGGGTTAAGGCCCCGACTACACCAATCATGTATATAAGTTCTATTTTCAAGTTTGTGTTGATACTTTTCAAATTATTCAGACATATTATTGTATTTATTTTCAATTCAGCACAGCACTATATTATTATTACATTAAAAAATAATGCGCATTTAAACAAGACATTTGCTCTTAGGCAGGCGGACAGACAGACAGTGAGACGTACAGATAGATCACTAAACACAGAGAATAACTGACAATTCACAATTCTCTTGTGACCAGGGTCGTTATGTCCAGCTCAACGACCTCAAAAAGACCCAACGCGGTTTGAAAACCCTGCTCAGTGCCGGCGGGAGCTTCCAGGCAGATAGGTTCAAGACAGTGACAGCCACCAACAGGTCACGAGAGCGCTTCGCCTACAACACCGCCCGATACGTGAGACAATGGGGTTTCGATGGATTAGATCTTGACTGGGAGTATCCGGGGAAGCTGGAGAAGGAGGCTTTAACTTACCTGGTTAAGGTATTAATTAGTTTAACTTGTTGTATAATCATCAACATTATCCTGCCGTGCTGTTATTTCTCACATTCTCAACGTCCAGGTCTCTATTCATTTCTGTCCTGTGCAATCCTCTTGATATCATGGATAAAACCATCATGGGGTCTCATTGTGAGGAAAACAAGAATATACCCACTGCCCTTCCCCTCCTCCCCTAAAAAAAAAGCATACCGTAAGAGTCAACTAGCTGGGAGCTTTTTTTCGAAATCGGAGTACATCTGCCCGAGCTGCAATGAACTACCAGCTGCACACAAATAAGTCAGTAGAACGGACGTACACGTAAAACTCAGGCCCTGGCACAAAACCAAAGTCTAATGGCCAAAAAACCATAAATTTCCACTGGAACTGACAGCCACTAAACAAAGAAGAAGAAGAAGAAGAAGAAGAAGAAGAAGAAGAAGAAGAAGAAGAAGAAGAAGAAGAAGAAGAAGAAGAAGAAGAAGAAGAAGAAGAAGAAGAAGAAGAAGAAGAAGAAGAAGAAGAAGAAGAAGAAGAAGAAGATGGATGGACTCTAGTCCAACACCCTTGGCCTCTCTTAACAATGTTCGTCTAAGGGTTAATCTTAGATCTCCTTGTTTGCTCACGCCATTTGTTTCCCATTACAGTGCTTATTGAGTGATTCTCTACCCGATTCTCCTCCCGATACGCCCAATACATTGCCATCGTCCTTGTCGTATTAGTAATGGTTTCTCTTGCTTAATGACATGTCTTAAATTAAATCTATTTAATGCTCAATTATGTTTTTTAAGGATCTGTTTTCGACTGCAACTCATTATATCCCTGCAAAGTTAAAGGTAAAGTAAAGGACCCTTTTCGACACCTTTCATGCGTGTTGGGTATATAGGGCTAGACCTATATTTTATAGACCAAACGGCACTAGGTGGGTGATGCAGTCAGCATCACGCCGGCCGCCTTTACTTCACAGGACTGCACCTGGTACCCACTCAAGGCTGGGTCAACCTGGGAGCCAAAATCATTTTTGATAAAAGTCCCCCCCCCCCCCCCCCTGTCAGGAACCGAACCAGCGACCCTCCGATTCGCAGGCGAGCGTCTACCCGTTAGACCACAGCGGCTCCCTCCTGCAGTCTTTATTATTGGGACTTCTTTACGTTGTTGTAAAGCTGAGGTAAACTATTTATTCTTTCTTAACCACCTTTATTTTTTTCTCTTCCCTATAATTTCCTACCCTTTTAAAAACTCATGATTGCCCAAGTCTTCATTTTAACACTTCCTTGCCCATTTTTGTCCAAGTCTTCCTTATTGAGACTGCCTTGCCCATGTTTGTCCAAGTCTTCATTATTGAGACTGCCTTGCCCATGTTTGTCCAAGTCTTCCTTATTGAGACTCTCTTGTCCATGTTTGTCCAAGTCTTCCTTATTGAGACTCTCTTGCCCATGTTTGTCCAAGTCTTCCTTATTGAGACTCTCTTGCCCATGTTTGTCCAAGTCTTCCTTATTGAGACTCACTTGCCCATGTTTGTCCAAGTCTTCATTATTGAGACTGCCTTGCCCATGTTTGTCCAAGTCTTCATTATTGAGACTCCCTTGCCCATGTTTGTCCAAGTCTTCATTATTGAGACTCCCTTGCCCATGTTTGTCCAAGTCTTCATTATTGAGACTCACTTACCCATGTTTGTCCAAGTCTTCATTATTGAGACTCCCTTGCCCATGTTTGTCCAAGTCTTCATTATTGAGACTGCCTTGCCCATGTTTGTCCAAGTCTTCATTATTGAGACTCCCTTGCCCATGTTTGTCCAAGTCTTCATTATTGAGACTCACTTACCCATGTTTGTCCAAGTCTTCATTATTGAGACTCACTTACCCATGTTTGTCCAAGTCTTCATTATTGAGACTCACTTACCCATGTTTGTCCAAGTCTTCATTATTGAGACTGCCTTGCCCATGTTTGTCCAAGTCTTCATTTTTGAGACTCCCTTGCCCATGTTTGTCCAAGTCTTCATTATTGAGACTCACTTGCCCATGTTTGTCCAAGTCTTCATTATTGAGACTGCCTTGCCCATGTTTGTCCAAGTCTTCATTATTGAGACTCACTTACCCATGTTTGTCCAAGTCTTCATTACTGAGACTCACTTGCCCATGTTTGTCCAAGTCTTCATTATTGAGACTCACTTACCCATGTTTGTCCAAGTCTTCATTATTGAGACTGCCTTGCCCATGTTTGTCCAAGTCTTCATTATTGAGACTCCCTTGCCCATGTTTGTCCAAGTCTTCATTATTGAGACTCACTTACCTATGTTTGTCCAAGTCTTCATTATTGAGACTCACTTACCCATGTTTGTCCAAGTCTTCATTACTGAGACTCACTTACCCATGTTTGTCCAAGTCTTCATTATTGAGACTCACTTACCCATGTTTGTCCAAGTCTTCATTATTGAGACTGCCTTGCCCATGTTTGTCTAAGTCTTCATTATTGAGACTCTCTTGCCCATGTTTGTCCAAGTCTTCATTATTGAGACTGCCTTGCCCATGTTTGTCCAAGTCTTCATTATTGAGACTCCCTTGCCCATGTTTGTCCAAGTCTTCATTACAACGATTTCGTTATCCATGTTTATCGATGTCTGCATTACTATAATTTCGTTCCCATGTTTGTCCAAGTCTTCACTACTAAGACTTCGTTATACATGTTTGTCAAAGTCTTCATTACTAAGATTTTGTTATTCGTGTTTAACCCTGTCTTCATTACTAAGATTTTGTTATTCGTGTTTAACTCTGTCTTCATTACTAAGATTTCGTTCCGATGTTTGTCCTAATCTTCATTACTAATATTATCGTTATCCATTTTTGTCCTTTATGGGTCGGTCTCTCTCCGCAGAGGGAGCTAGCCGCCTATCGAGAGTCACAGATAGCAAACATTCCTTACCTCCAGGGTGGGTCCCCATAAAATGATAATTTTAAGTTTCTATTGCTACCAGGCTTGAAAGTGATTAGCATACACAGATAAAATTATATTAGATAAACCATTATTAAGCTGGGTGTCCAGTTGCCTTCTAGCCAGGTTTACTCATTCTTTCTTCTCTGACCCCGCTCCAGTTTATTCCCGACTATCTCGCTCTCTCTCTCTCTCTCTCTCTCTCTCTCTCTCTCTCTCTCTCTCTCTCTCTCTCTCTCTCTTATCTATCTCCCTCATGCTCCCCTTCTTATTTTACTGCATTAAAGCGCTAACTGGTGTCAGTTGGGCTTGGTTGGTGAAAGAAGAACTTTCTAATGCGTAAGCCTTCCCTCCGTAAACAAGCCACGTAACGCTAACAACGATCCAGGTTTGTGCATTTAACTGAATGAAAGACAACATGAAGTGTGATATCCCATGAAACATACACTGGGACACACATCTTGGGACACATCATAAAGCACACATCTTGGGACACACCATAAAGCACATATCTTGGGACACATCATAAAGCACACATCTTGGGACACATCATAAAGCACACATCTTGGGACACATCATAAAGCACACATCTTGGGACACATCATAAAGCACACATCTTGGGACACATCATAAAGCACACATCTTGGGACACATCATAAAGCACACATCTTGGGGACACATCATAAAGCACACATCTTGGGACACATCATAAAGCACACATCTTGGGACACATCATAAAGCACACATCTTGGGACACATCATAAAGCACACATCTTGGGACACATCATAAAGCACAAATCTTGGGACACATCATAAAGCACACATCTTGGGACACACCATGAAGCACACAACATGAAGCACACAACATAAAACAAACACGATGGGGCACACAATGTAGCACCATGTAGCATACAACATTAGTCACACACCATATAGCACACACCATGTAGCACACATCATTAAGCACACACCATGTAGCACACACCATGTAGCACGCAACATTGAGCACACATAATGTAGCACACAACATGAGGCACACACCATGTAGCACACGCCATGTAGCACACACCATTTAGCATACATTAATAAGCACACACAATGTAGCACGCAACATTGAGCACACACAATGTAACACACAACATGCACACATAATGGTACACACCATGAAGCACGCAACATTGAGCACACACCATGTAGTACACAACATTGAGCACACACCATGGGACACACCATGGGACACACCATGGGAAACACCATGGGACACACCATGTGACACACCATGACACACAGACCTTGAAGAACACCATGTAGTACACACCATGACACACACTATGAAGCACACACCATAGGACACACACTATGAAGCACATACCATATAGCACACACCATGACACACACTATGAAGCACATACCATATAGCACGCACCATGACACACACTATGAAGCACACACCATAGGACACACACTATGAAGCACATACCATATAGCACACACCATGACACACACTATGAAGAACATACCATATAGCACGCACCATGACACACACTATGAAGCACATACCATATAGCACACACCATGGCACACACTATGAAACACATACCATATAGCACACACCATGACACACACTATGAAGCACATACCATATAGCACACACCATGACACACACTATGAAGCACATACCATATAGCATACACCATGGCACACACTATGAAACACATACCATATAGCACGCACCATGACACACACTATTAAGCACATACCATATAGCACACACCATGACACACACTATTAAGCACATACCATATAGCACACACCATGACACACACTATTAAGCACATACCATATAGCACACACCATGACACACACTATGAAGCACATACCATATAGCACACACTATGAAGCCCACAACATATAGCACACACACCCCAACACTATACAGCACACACTATGACGTTTAATAAATAGCAAGCATCTGATGGAATGTGTTCCATTTAGCAGTTTTGTTAATGACCTTCCGAGACAGGATTTAAAATCAGCGTTCAGAGAAGAAGCTCTACGTACAGGACAACAAGAGCTGCTCCTGTCGATCGCTGTCCCTGTTGGAGAAGAGAGAGTTCGTCTGGGATACCAAGTGGATCTCATCAGCAAGTATGAATTTCTTTACCGTTTTATGTATCATTATTGTACTATATAGAGGGAAATGGCTTGGCCACGTTATGAGAACGAGTCCTAATATTCCTGCCAAAACAGCTCTCACGTGGATACCAGAAGCAAAGAGAAAAAAGGGCGCCCAAAAACAACATGGAGAAGAACCATTGAAAGTGACCTGAGTGCGGCATCTCTGACATGGAAAACTGTACTGAAGATTGCACAGGACAGAAAAGCATAACAAGTCCTCTCTGAAGCCTTATGTGCCGGTAGGTAAAACGAGAACTGATGATAATATATATTGCACTATATAGTGCTATATTGTTTACTATATTTTAGTACGGCATGCATGCAGTTGCTAGTGTGAGCGGCACCACCCCCCCCCCTTTCCTTTCCGCCCAGGCTGTGGAGTTTAAAAGAAACACACACACACACACGCACACACACTCCAATGCAGTGGCTATGTAGTGTATACGCCAGGAATTCATAAATAAAAAGGAAATCTCACAAAGATTCGAACACATGCCTCACCCGTCCTTATACAACGCTGCCATTTTGACACTACATATTGATACTTTATTTATTGTGATGTAAGATACAGATAAGGATATAGCACCTCACAATAAGCGGCTGCTTCATCTTAAAAGTTATTCATTGATCATGACTGGCGTCTCTTTCTTCTTCTAGGTCAAAGTGGCTTCGAGAACATAGCTAGTAAACTAGGTGGTCCACATTAGAGCAACATTCGTGTCTGACGAAAATAATGATAACCGCAGTCGAGCTTTAACCGAGAACTAAATGGTTTTCACTGATTAAGACTTTTGGTTGAGACGGTCAGTTGTATCGGTGGATCTTTCCTTTGACTTCATCTGCTCCTCAGTAAGCACCAATCCTAATGTTTGCATCTTTCTCAGGTACGCTGATATGATTAACCTAATGGCCTACGACTTCTACTATGGAGCATGGATGATGACGGCTTTCAACAGCCCACTGTTTCCACGGAATCACCACAAGTTGTCCAGAAAACATTCTGTCGTAAGTTAGTTAGTTAGCTAGTTAGTAGACAGGTTATCCTCATTACATAGCGAACCACTCACTCCAAAAGTGCTCGTATCCCCTCCGCAGTAATTCCCGCAGCGTGTAGCGGCTGACGACACCAGCTATGTGTTGGTTTATTCTTCTTCTTTGGCTACCCGAGTAGTGTTCTTGTTTGGCGACACCGCGTTTAACTTGCTGTTCTTGCAGTCTGACCATGGTTGCAGATTCACAATTCTCAGCTGGTTCAGGCAAACATCTTAAATCTCGTAGAGCGTTCAGTATATCAGCCTGCTCCATGGCTTGTCAGGGTTTCACAGTAGCCATGCCTCCAAGTCTATCAGCTTGCTTATTTCCTTGTACCCCCCACATATCCTGGCACGAAAATAAAACAAATTCTTGTCAGCCGTGAACGATGTAGAGCCACCAACAACTGCCTTCGGACTAAGCCCTTCTCTATCTTCCCGAGCATACTCATCGAGTCACTGAGAACAACTGCTGTTAAGTGCACATTACTTTCGTTGTATTGGTTTCTTTCACTGTTAATAAAGATAAAAATCATAACAAGCATAGTTCGTGGCGACGGCAGAGATGGTGGTGACTGCACAGATGTTGGTGACTGCCCAGATGGTGTTGATTGCAGAGCTAGTGGTGACTGTAGAGATGGTGGTGACTGCAGTGATGATAGTGTCTACACATATAATGGTGACTGCACAGATGGTGGTGACTGCCCAGATGGTGGTGATTGCAGAGATAGTGGTGACTGCACAGATGGTGGTGACTGCAAAGATGGTGGTGATTGCAGAGATAGTGGTGACTGCACAGATGGTGCTGACTGCACAGATGGTGGTGACTGCACAAATGGTGGTGACTGCACAGATGGTGGGGACTGCACAGATGGTGGTGACTTCACAGATGGTGGTGACTGCACAGATGGTGGTGACTGCACAGATGGTGGTGACTGCACAGATGGTGGTGACTGCACAGATGGTGGTGACTGCACAGATGGTGGTGACTGCACAGATGGTGGTGACTGCACAGATGGTGGTGACTGCACAGATGGTGGTGACTGCACAGATGGTGGTGACTGCACAGATGGTGGTGACTGCACAGATGGTGGTGACTGCACATATGGTGGTGACTGCACAGATGGTGGTGACTGTACATATGGTGGTGACTGCACAGATGGTGGTGACTGCACAGATGGTGGTGACTGCACAGATGGTGGTGACTGCACAGATGGTGGTGACTGCACATATGGTGGTGACTGCATTAATCATGCAGCTGTAAATCATCAGGTTTTCCCTACACCTCTCAGTTGTTTTTTTTTCCTGTTGTACACAGTTATCATCAGTCAGCAGGTTTTTTTACAGGACGTAGCTCTCGTCAAGGCACGCCGGAAGCCTCTCTCTCCCCCTCTCTCTTTTACCAATTCTCCAGCCCTATGTGCTTTCATACGTGAATACAGTACAGCTAACAACCCATTTCACCAGGCAGCCACAGACCCTTTTCTCGCTGAGCACCGACATCAGAATATCAGGTTTGACCCTTTTGTAGGCACCACCGTCTCTTGTCTTTTTTTTTTTTTTTGAAACCCCTCATAAAACATCAAAAGCAAAAGTGGCTTCATTTGACCGGAAATCTTTCCATGGCTCTGGTTGTGGAACTGTTCATAACGCGAGCGGGTCTTGTCAATGACACTCTTCATCGCTACAGTCTGATTCTCAAGCCTATCTATATCAGAATGTAACATTATTATCGGACAAGATATAAAGGTCCCAATGATAGAATCCAGTCACACAACCAAATACATCAACATCACACCATGACACATCTAACAGCCTTGATGTCGCGTGCCCAGCACGAAACTAACCCAATATCACTGCGAAGGTCACACCTCCGACGTTTTCCCTTAGACATTTTTCTCTGATGTTCACTGCTGCTCGAACTGGAACAGTTTTGCTGCTTAAAGATTCAAAGTTGACTAATATTATTGCCTTACATTTTCTTAATTTATTTGTGAGTCACACAACTTTTTCATGATTCGTTCGTTGACAGCACACCAAACATCCAGCACTATTTACTTGACTTGCTTGAATCTTTGCAACCCTCTCTTGATTATTGTTGAATTGAACATAACTGCCATCAATTTCTTTTCAGGAATGGATAGTGAATTTATGGATAAATCTAGGCGCCCCGCCACATAAAATCAATCTGGGCATAGCAGGTTACGGACAATCTTTCACTCTTCAAGTTGACCCTCAAGAAACTCTACTTACAGATATACAAACAGATAACACAACTGGCAGCACCAAAACAGACAAGAAGAACCAAAATACAGCGGCAGTTTCAAAGAACTCTTCAAATATTAACGGAACTACTTTTTATAATAATGTTTCTGATGAGGAAAAAGGGAACAACCAGTCGCAGCTACACGTGATTACTTCTGGACAGAAGAACGTTCAGATCTGTAACGGAAATCTGGAGGACTGCGTTATGGAAGCTCGCTTGTCTCAAAATATTAACAGAATAAAGAGATATAGCAGTGGAGTTTTCTCTCACCGCCAACCTGCTACAAGAAATCACAGTGATGTTCTAATTGCAAGCTCACAAAATGACCCAGCTGTGTTTGGTGGTAGTATCACTGATGAGCTTGGCATACATCAGAATGGGATTGGCAGTCAAGAGCTTGATTCGAAGAGTGCTGTCGGACTTGACGCAGGCAGGGAACTGTTAAGTCACGAAGAAGTCACTATACATAGAAATGGAAATAGCAAACAGGGGCACGCAGATTCAGCGCCACCTGCAGGCGATGGTCAAGAGCAAAGGGGAAGTCAGGCAGGCAAGTTTAGAGGCAGTGGTCAACCTCGAGATGGCACAGATGCTGTTGTGTATGGTGTTGGTTCCAAAGCTGTGGGACCAGGCCGGCCAGGAAGGTTGAGGCACCTGAAGGGACAACTTTCTTATCCCGAGGTGAGAGACCAGCAGTAAACTGTTTATTCTTCTTCTGGTTGTTCGTCCACTTCTGTACTGTGGCCTTGTTTCAGAACTTGGGTCTTGCGTAAACATGCATTTTACAGATCTGGCTTATGTATATGCAGATTGTTGGTCCCTCACATCTCAGGAAGATGCACTGCGACTTCGAAAGAAACTGTTTAATATTATTACAATCATTTATAAACAGTTTATCAACATTGAAACAACAGACAAAATTGGTCTTCCGTCCAACTTAAATGGTACCCGAATTTTTTATGGGAAGTAAAAGCTACCGTCGGATTATGAACACATCCCCAGTCGAATGTAGATTGATCAATAGAAGTTAATTAGTCGACAGTGTATGCTCACTGCACATCGATCCACTCAGTCCATTACTGACCAGTAAACCCCTCAGTCTGCATTTTGTTCATTATCTGCATTTGGTTTGCAGTGAAGCGATGGTGGCCAAGCGTTCAGGCTCGAAGGACTAGAGTTCAAATCTGAATCCAGCCTAAATTGTTTCAGAACTGATGTTGGCTCCTAGCTCAACCCACCCTAAAATGGTTACCAGGTAATATCCTGGGATGTAAATGCGGCCGACGTGAAGACGGCCACATCGAGTCCCACTATACAAATATATGATCAGCGCTATATGCCAGGGAAACCGCCGTTATGTAGTGGCTAGACGCTCGCCTACAGATCCAATATTCGTAGTTTCAAATCTGCATGGTACCCGTTTTTTGTTTTCAAACATATCATTGGCTCCCATTTTGACCCAGCCGTAATGGGTATAAGGTAAAGTCCTCAGAAAAAGGCGGCTGTCGAAATGATGTCCATATCATCCATCTATAGCAATATGAGTCTAGCCTCATATGCTCGATATACCACTAGCACGTAAAGAAGCCTTTCTTCTCCTGCTTCAACTTCTTCTTCTCGAACGAACGACAGTACTCTAGGGGTATGAAGTTGTTACCCGCATTCACTAGCCTCTAAGCAAAGGAGTCAAGCAGAAGGTATACAATAATTAGGACATCATAAAAAGCTTCATTATTATCAAGTGACTTGCCGACTGGAATGGGCGATCACGCCTCTCCACAATCTGCGATATGCAACTGCGTGTATCAGTTCGTGTGTTGACACTTCTCTATGTCATGACAAAAGACAGTCTTCTCATACTGTCTTCCTATGTCTCTCTATCCACAGATCTTTCCAGTGGTCACAAAATGTTTCATTTTTCCTCTTCTCATAACACGACCGAAAATTGATGACTGTCTCTTTCTAATGTTTGTGATAGGTTTCCTTCAAGCACTCACCTTTTTCAAAACATCTGGGTTGCTCTTCTGAGCTGTCCTATGAATTCTAAGTATTCTTCTGTAAAACCACAGATCCGCGGCCTCAAGATATTGTTCGGCTTGTTTATTAATTGTCCAGGCTTCACAGCCGCATGTTAAAATTGGCTTTATATAGCATGTGAGAATTATCGCATACCATAATGGGCTTACGTTATACATTGCTATGTTTTGTGTCATCTTCTAGATTTGTGAGCAAATCCATGCCGGAGCCAGCGTAGCCTGGGACCAAGAACAGAGGGTGCCGTATGCAGTTCTTGGCGACCAGTGGGTGGGCTACGAGAACCCCAGGAGTGTCGGTGAGAAGGTATGATGGTCAGGAATTGTGTGTAGAAGCAGTTTACTCTATCCGTTCAGTTATGGTCCGTTTCAAAAGTGGTGACCAACTAAAAAATCTATAACTCAGTAACTGTTCTATGATTTTATTTTATTTGAATTGATTCAAGATCCGACATCACAGCACTCGGGGCATTCCCATAAGCGTTCCGTCCCCATCTTCAGCAGCCAGTGAAGAGTTCCGATACAAATGGTGCCAGTAGCATTCTGATTAAACGTCTGTCTTGTCTTTCCTCTGAACCTCAAGCATCTGCCAGAATCTCTAGTCACTCCTCGCTGCATCAATCTCACCAGACAGTGGTGATCCATCTGCTCCTCCGAACTGTACACGCTCTCCCACAAGGCACTAACCACGTCTGCCTTATCATGCATCAGTATTCCACCAAGTTGTGCAGAGCCAGCCAGTCTGTCCGCCTGTTCATTTCCCAACACATCGTGTACCCCAGTGAAAAAATTCAGACAATACTCCTCACCCATATCCTCAGCAGCGAAGCATGCCACTCTGCACGAAGCATTCCTGTTTTGATCTTCCTCAGCAAGCTTTAGTAACCGTTCTATGTAAATTAGTACAAGTTGGCATGCAACTTATTAATAGTCACGCCCATATAGAAAAGAAAACAGTTATAATGTAAATAAAAATCTTGTTTTTTTTTTTTTGCCTTGTTTGTGGTGTATGAAAAACAGACACCGATTCAAAGCATTCAGTTATCATGTTTGCAGTAAATGGACTGAGTTGAAGTTGGCAAAATGTCATCCTGCACGCATTTTGGAGGTAATCCGAAACTTAAGCGCACCTATTTTGAATAGTAAAGTGGCATACGTCATTTGCAGCCATAATGTTTGTTCATTTGCTCATATTTTTTTTTCTTAAGTGCACGATCTGTATTAGTTACTATCGACAAATTGGGATGGGGGGTGAGGGCGGGGGATGGGGGTGGGGGTGGGAGCGGTCAGAAAGAGAATCAAAACAAGATTGACAGAAACAAATATGTCTGGACAGTTTACACATCTGGATATCACAGAGTAACTCGTAAACTAAACTTCGACTCCACTAATATTAGAGACTGGAAACAACTGCAGAGACATAACTCGACACTAGAAAGAAGTAGACGCAGAAGAAGAAGAGGAGTAGGCGGAGAAAGAGGAGAAGAAGAAGGAGGGAGAAAAAGAAGAAGAAGAAGTAGAGGAATAATAATAATAATAATAATAATAATAATAATAATAATAATAATAATAAGAAGAAGAAGAAGAAGAAGAAGAAGAAGAAAAAGAAGAAGAAGAAAAGGAGGAGGAAGAAGAAAAAGTAGTAGTAGTAGTAGAAGAAGAAGAAGAAGAAGAAGAAGAAGAAGAAGAAGAAGAAGAAGAAGAAGAAGAAGAAGAAAAAGAAGAAGTAGAAGAAGAAGAAATAGAAGAATAAGAAGAAGAAGAAGAAGAAGAAGAAGAAGGAGAAAAGGAGGAGGAAGAAGAAAAAATAGTAGTAGTAATAGAAGAACAGGAAGAAGAAGAAGAAGAGAAGGAGGAGGAAGAAGAAAAAGTAGTAGTAGTAGTAGTAGTAGTAGAAGAAGACGAAGGAGAAGAAGAAGAAGAAGAAGAAGAAGAAGAAGAGGGAGAGGAAAAGGGCGTGAATAATGATGTGGAAGGCGCGAAGGAAAAAAGAAAGAAGCATCCCATAGCAGATACTAGCAAAAGTATTTGCTTGCTTTTTTTTTTGATGAAACATAAATAAAACTATGGCCACGTTTAACCAGCTGAGAAGAAGTTTTTGTTTATAATTATGGTCTGGTTTTGTGTGTGCCAGGTTAAGTGGCTAAAGGGATTCAAACTACACGATTTCAAATAAACCAGGCCATTTCACGACGAGTGACCTATTCTCTGCTGCATCGCTTTGTGTTTTTGTTTTTCAAATAAATTGTTGGAGCTTTTAAAAACCTAAATCGTAAACAGTTGGGATCTTTTCTTTTTGAGTAAAACCGTGACCGTTGTGCTAGCAGCCGGCTCAGTATCACTCTCCGCCATTTCTGCAATATGAACATTTTTCCTTTGACAGGTATCACTCTCCGCCATTTCTGCTATATGAATATTTTTCCTTCGGCAGGTGACGTGGGCGTTTGAGCATCGACTGGGAGGCGTCATGTTTTGGTCGCTGGATCTTGACGACTTCAAGGGAGATTACTGCGGTCAGGGACGGTTTCCTTTGCTGACATCCATGTCGAAAACTGTTATTTCCCTTGCCAGTAACCAAAATAAGAGCATCATTGGGAACTCAGAGAATTTTACAAACGATATGTCCTGGGTTGAGCGTGCCTATACTGTGACCCCACAAGAATCAAGAGCGACAGCCGTTTCTGATAACAGTAATGAAAATGTCATAGAAAAACCAGTAATAGCAATGACGTTGCTAAACAACCCAAAGACAAGAACAGACGCAGTTGCGACAACATCCAAGCCAAATGCATACGAGCATTATTTTAATCATAACATGTCGTCGTTTAATAATGCAACTGATTTGCCGACAGAATTAAAACCCACTGACAATAGTTATCCTACCAAAAAGAGTACGGTCAATGTCTTAATTCCAGCAAAGGCGGGAAATAAAACTGACGTTACAACAAAAAGAGTAGTAGAGAATGCAACGCACAGGGCAAATGCGAAAGACAAAGTTGCGCCAACTGGTGGTAACAAACAAATGGATCCACATAGTGTCTTTTCCTTCAAAGACAATAGACAGTCAGAAACCAACTGATTTCCTTCCTTCTAATGAGAGGAAACAGTCACAACCAAATGATTTCTTTCCTTTCAATGAGAAGAAACAATCAGAATCAATTGATTTCTTTCCATCCAAAGAAAACAAAAAATCAGAACCAACTGATTTTTATCCCTCCAGTGACAGCAACAAATCGGAACCAACGAATTTCTTTTCTTCTAATAAAAAGAAACAATCAGAACTATTAAACGAGACAAAACAATCTGAAACAAGCGAATTCATTCCTTCGCTTGAAAACAAACAATTGGAACCACCAAATGAATTGACTTCCGATGTGAGAGTGGAATCTGAAATCAGCAACAACGAATACGACTACAGCGCTTTTTCTGTATCAGCAAGTACTGTCACAGACGGGACTACCACTACTGCACACACAAGTAGAACTGACAAACACAAGAAGAGCAATAGAAAACCAGGAGCCAAAAAAAGAATCTACAGAAACACATCTAACAGTGTAACTGCCAGTATCAATGTAGTTGTGTTGATTATCTGTGCCGTTTTCATGACAACGGGAAACAATTAGGATGGTAGGATGCGCCGATCTTATACTTGAAAAAAGATCTCGCGTCATGTTTTAGCTCACAATTTAATATGCATTTAACAATAATTGTGAGCTTATAATATTTTTTTTTTGCAGTGATGACAGAAGCTGAAACTGTCATTATCATCATCTTATTTTTCCTGCTTGTAGCTTTCAACGTGCCACTTTTTATTGATTTAAATGTGCCTCTAAGTTGTTCATTTAATTTTTTTTTCTAGACGTTTGAAGCAACAACCAGAGAAACATAGATTTAAATATGCTTCTCTCAGATGTAGATTTAAATTTGCTTTTTCTTTGTTCCTTTGAATGTATTTCTTCTTGTTGCTGCTTTAAATGTACCTCTCCTAGTTGTTGCTTTAAATGTGCTTCTCCTATTTTTTGATTTTAATGTACCTCTTCTAGTTGTTGCTTTAAATGTACCTCTCAAAGTTGTTGCTTTAAATGTGCTTCTCCTAGTTGTTGCTTTAAATGTGCTTCTCAAAGTTGTTGCTTTAAATGTGCTTCTCCTAGTTGCTTTAAATGTGCTTCTCAAAGTTGTTGCTTTAAATGTTCTTCTCCTAGTTGTTGCTTTAAATGTGCTTCTCTTAGTTGTTGCTTTAAATGTGCTCCTAGTTGTTGCTTTTAATGTGTTTCTCCTAATTGTAGCTTTAAATGTACTTCTTCTAGTTGTTGCTTTAAATGTACTTCTCCTAGTTATTGCTTTAAATGTGCTTCTCCTAGTTGCTGGTTTAGATGTACTTCTCCTAGTTATTGGTTTAGATGTGCCTCTCCTAGTTGTTCTTTAAATGTGCTTCTCCCAGTTTTTGCTTTAAATGTATTCCTCCTAGCTGTTACTTTAAATGTTCTTCTCCTAGTGGTTGTTTTGAATGTACTTCTCTTAGTTATTGCTTTAAATGTGCTTCTCCTAGTTGCTGATTTAGATGTACTTCTCCTAGTTATTGATTTAGATGTGCCTCTCCTAGTTGTTGCTTTAAATGTGCTTCTCCCAGTTTTTGCTTTAAATGTACTTCTCCTAGTTGTTGCTTTAAATGTACTTCTCCCAGTTGTTGCTTTAAATGTGTTTTTCTTAGTTGTTGCTTTAAATGTGCTTCTAGTTGTTGCTTTGAATACACGTCTAATTATTGCTTTAAATGTGCTACCTGTTGTCGCTTTTAAATGTAGTCCTGGTTGTTATTGTATGTTTGTCTGTTTGGGTCTTTAGTGTGGTAGTTCTTGCCTTAATGGAGCAAACGACGGACAGACAATAGAATGAATTCACAGGCAGCTCGACTAAGTGATTGCGAGTGGGAGTAAGAGAAAGAAATGAGAAAGTGTGAAAAAAGTAGGAAAGTGCGCGTGGGCGCGCGTGTGTGTAAGAGAGAAGGAAGAAGGGGTCTACTGCTACCCTCCTTTATTTAAGAGATAACACCTAATCATAGCTGACTGATTTATTGATTTAAATAAAAAGTACCTTACCATACCCACAAAATAACTTTTGTCACAAACGTTTGTAAATTACATGGTTGATAGTTTATGTAAATATATATGTATATTTTTTGTTGGTCTGTTGATTTCATTTAAAAAAAAAGTGTTTATGTAAACTGAAACAAACCAGAAGAAGGCATTTGTCAGAGTCGACAGACAATTATTATGGAAAGTAATGGCAAGATATGGAGTTAGCGAACACCTCATCGAAGTGTGCAAAAGTTTATACAGGGATTGTAAAAGTGTAGTTAGATTAAATCAGGGAACATCTCATCCTTTCACAGTGACATCTGGAGTAAGACAGGGGTGTGTCTTATCCCCACTGCTGTTTATCACCTACATCGACAGTATATGCAAGAATGCCAAGCCCATGAATAAAGATCTTAGTAAGATCAACGAATTACTCTTTGCAGATGACCAGGCCTTGAAAGCAGATACATCCATGAAATTGCAACAACATCTAACATCCATGAATGAAGAATGTAAAACAAATAGTATGAGAATCAACACTGAAAAGACAGAAGTAATGTCAATAGGAAAAAAGAAGACAAATCTAAACATAGCAATAGAATACAAAGGCATTAAACAGGCATCTGAGTTTAAATATCTGGGAACTACATTTACCGAAGATGGGAAATTGGATAAAGAAATTGACATTAGATGCAGTAAAGCAAACCAAGTATTGGGACAGCTAGCCCCCCTCTTACAGCATAAGACAATCCCAATCAGCACAAAGAGACATCTTATTCAAAGCATATTTATTCCAACTCTGTGCTACCAGTGCCAGACATGGTCACTCACAACAAACCATAAAAGAAAATTAGTAACCACGGAAATGAGATGTCTGAAAAGGGCTGTAGGAGTGACCATAAGAGATAAGATCAGGAATGAGATCATAAGGGAACAAGTCGGCACAGAACCAATTCTGAATTACATACAAAGACAACAAGTGAAATGATTTGCACACTTAGAGAGAATGCCTTGTGACACCATACATGGAGCACGGGGTAGACCAAGAACAAGATGGAAGGATAACATCAGAGAAACTCTACAAAAGCACGATGTGCCTATGGTCGAGGCAGCCAGAAGAGCTAGAAACAGAACCTTATATCTCCATCGACACCCACAGCGGTAAAAGAGGAAGTGAAGAAGAAGAAGAAGAAGAAGAAGAAGAAGAAACAAACATAAATGATTCGACACTGGGCTGTACCCAAGAAGCCGATGAACTAGTACAGGACAAGAGGATTAATTTGATCTGTACGTTCTCTTCGTGTTTGTATCCACCATCCCTCCCTCCCAGTGTCCATAAACCTAAGTCAACTATAATTTCACAAACTGCATGAATGCAGAAGTTTCAGAAATTCATGGTGGCAAACTGAATGATGCATTGCGCCATCACAAGTACTATGAGAAACACGTACTGGACCAAACGAAATACACAGGAGGCTGAATGTTCAGTGGAAGAGCATGCATCCGACGTAGATTTACTGACTAGTGAGATTTGGTGGCGCGATGATGTTGTGTCTGACATTTCTTGTTGCTTTCAACTTTGCCCCTTTAGGACTGTAGATGTTTTACTGCAGTTACTAAGGCTAACATCACATGAACCATCAGGTAAGTCTACAGAACTTGATGTTTCAGAGGTGTTAAATGGCGATGGAGATAACTCACAGCTTTTGTTGTCGCCAAACAAATCCCGCCTGACCGCCTATAAACAGTTATTACTGCTGCACACACCTTCTCTAGCACCAAATCGGCACTGAGCAAGCTTCATAATTTCCGCATTTGACGAACTTCTTTTTTTTTGAAAACCCTGATTTTTAACTTCTTCCTTTTTCTTATCAATTATATTCAATTCATCCATAAGCTCTACGATCTTATCTATCAACCAACACTGATCTTCCACAAGATCAACAATAAATTTTCTGAAATTAAAAAGGTTCATATCAGATTTGTCTGATGTTAAAGTTGATTTCGCTAATGATGGAGGGGTAACGGTTGCCTGTTTGTTGAAATTATCTAACTTTTGTGGTGCATAGTTTAAATGGAGAGTTTCGTTGAATTCAAGCCCTTGATCCTCTGACCCGGCATCATCCATATTTAGTGGTTCATTTGGATACTTACTTCCAGCCATCTCTGACTTTGATCTGCTCCATCTATTGAGTTTAAAGTCATCAGCTTCCTGCTGCATCTCTTCTCCCACATCTTCACATGTTGCCAGCTTTTCCACAATTCCTGGGCATACGGCTGGTTCTAGACCCTGATGATAAAATGATCGTTTAATTCTCTGTTGACTATCAATTTTATCTCGCTGCGTTCGTGAGTAGCGAGAACATGCCAATGTCGGCGACATCTTTTTGGGCATTTCTGAGCGGTGTCCCACAACTGGCGACTCTCTAATCTTGGAATCTCTGTAGTTCCGATGAAAGTCCCATAGAATACCCTTACATATTACACCCCTTGAGCTCAACAGTTCGCGTCCGCGAATCGAATCCCCAACCTTTTTTGACACGGACTTTTGACATGGAGCAACGACGGGCATTCTGTGTGGCTTCTACTCGCACACGAATGAACATCTTTTTAGGGTGATCCTTTTGCGATGAGGTTGGAATCTCCACTGATAACCTTTCGCCGTACACTGTGTTGTTGTCGTCGTCGATTGACGGTCCTGTTAACATTTTCCCACCCATCTACACACTACCTGACCTTTCATTCATACTTTTACAGACTCTTCTACGTAGGAGTGATGTAATGTTGTGTTGCCTCCAGTTGCCTCAGTGCCGATGTCGCGTCTTCTATACTAAACGACAACACAGCTTTCAACGACCCCAAAACACGTAGAACTGACCCAAGCACCCCCACCCCCTACCCACAGCCTCAACCTAGGTGACACGAGAGACTCTTTGCGAAGAAATCAGTACAACATGACACCCCTCGGGACAAGCTTATACTGAGAAAGTGTGTAGATGGGCCG